AAGATCATGAAAGCCTTTTATAAGGAGAGAATGTTGAGGTAAGTGGACAAGCAGGTGAAGAAAAGTGTAATAAGAGGAAGGAGCAGGGTATATGAAGGAGGAAAACAAAACCATGTCTAAGTTCTGGGGCAGAGAGATACATCCCTCCCGATTTCTGCCCCAGATGCTCACGTTAATCCACACACCTTCCTGTCTCAGTGTGCTAGCAGATTTTCTCAGCACTTCTAGGAAGGAACCTACTTGGTTGAATTTTCTGGGATCAGGAAAGGAATGAGTGTGATGTTAGTTTGGATTTGAGTCTCTGTAGGGTTAGTTAGGACTTTCCTGATAGCTGAGGTGGTAAAGAATCTGCCTGCAATGAGAGACCTAGGTTTGATCCCTGGGTCAAGAAGATCCCCTGGAAAAGGGAATGGGAACCCACTCCAGTATTCTTGCCTGGAGAGTTCCATGGACGGAGGAGCCTGGCAAGACTGCAGTCCATGGGGTCACAAAGAGTCGGACATGACTGAGCAACTAGCACACTTTTTAGGGTTAGTTAAGTGTACATATGTAAAAGAAATATTTTCTTAAAAGATGGCAAAAGCAGGACTCCTTAAGTGTATTTTCAATCACCATGTAGTATTTCAAAGCTTTATGAGTGAGTGATAGTTGTTCAGTTGTAAAGTTGTTCAGTCGAAAGAAAGTTGTGCAATTTCAGTTCATGAAAGTAAATCTATTATTCTTTTTCTATTCTAAAAGCAAGTAAGCCTAAGATATCTGTGAAATATATACTTACCTAAGCTGGAACTTTTCACATTTGTCATCTCTTTCTTTGAGTAAAATTTGCCATAGAGACTTATACTTTGTAAATTATTCTTTTCTCTGCATTATTTATGCATTTTTAACTGTGGTATTTGTTATACATCACTGAATTTGTATTTAATGAATCAGATTTACATTTAATCAGTTTGTGTTGAAGTTACTTAATGAGATACTTTGCTTTTCTGTGTTAAAAGCAGGTCAAGGTCAACTGAAATACTCAGGGCAATAAATACATTATTCAGTGTTCATTTTTTACATAACTTGTAACTTTATCAAGTTTTATGATTTAACTAAATCATAATAACATTCCCTGTAATAATTTCTAATTAATTCTTTAAGGCCAGACATTTTACTATTGATGTTTTGGCAATCTGTTGTTTACTTTTGCTTTATTTTATTTTATTTCATTTTTACTTTTTAATGTGGGGATTCTTACTTTCTACTACTTTCAGAACAAAATATGTAGATTAAGATTGTGTCAGATTATCAAGTGATGTGAGAATAAAGGCAGTGCATTACAGATCTGAAGATAATTTTCAGGCACTCCCCTGTTGGTCCAGTGTTTAAGGCTCCACTCTTCCCTGCAAGGGGCACAGGTTTGATACCTGGTCCTGGAACAGAGATCCCACATGCTCTGTGGCACAGACAAAATAATAATAATAAAAGATAAGGAATTTTCAATGTTTGAATTTATTTAAAACAGAAAACAAGTATATCAGAGCTTTGTCCTCATATATATATGATGTACATGATGTAGCGTTCAAAGTAAAACTGACAAAGAACTGAGTATTTATCTGTGTAGGACATTTTTGTTGTTATTCAGTCACTCAGTCGTGGCCGACTCTTTGGAACCCCATAGACTGCAGCACGCCAGGCTTCCCTGTCCTTCACCATCTCCCAGAGCTTGCTCAAACCCATGTCCATTGAGTCAGTGGTGCCATCCAACCATCTTGTCCTCTGTTGTCCCCTTCTCCTCCTGCCTTCAATCTTTCCCAGCATCAGGGTCTTTTCTAATGAGGACATTTTACTTCCTGTTTTATCTATACTCCCTGCAAACCTTCCACCTCTGCCTTTTTCCTGATGGCCTTGCCTCATTATCCATGTGTGACAAAAGCCACAGGCAATACTGTCATCTTCCCACATCAAATTTCCATACACCCAGTGTCTGTATTCAGCCCTCAGCCTCTTTCCTAGAACAATGAAGTGGATACTGTGCATGGTTTCTCAGAGGCTTGTTCCTCTACAAGCCATCTGTATCCCGTGCTTCCCCGTCTTCGCAAGAGCTTTGTTTTTTCCCCTCTGTTTTGTTGCCCACATCATTTTCTTCCTTTTCTCTTCAATATAAAGCCTCTCTTGCTTCAGATTCTTCGCTTTGAAGACTTTCCTTGACCCTAGTTGGTCCCCGTAAGGACCACCCTTTTCCTTCTCTGCCTCTCAGCTGAGGTGCCCTGAACACTCGCCTCTGCACAGGCTAATCCTTCTCACTGTTGTTCGGTGCATTCTATTGTTCCAGTTGTGTTCCACCCCGCCTCCAGATGCTGCCTGTGTAACCGGATGAGTTCAATGGGCTCTTTTAAGTCCTCATCTTTTCTGTCTCTGTACCACAATGTGTTCTACTTGAGACCGTTTTTTTTTCCCCCTCTCGTCCCTAAGACAGTCCCATCTCCTGATTTCCTTCCTGCCTCCATGGGAACTTACTCCTCCTCAGTTTTCTCAAGGACTCCTCCTCTGGTTCACTTTTATTCACATGGTTTTAAACCAAATTTTTCTGCTGAAGCTTTCCATTTTTTTATATTTAATTAAGACTTCTTTTGAGCCTGTTGCTTTTCACGTGATGATTTCTTGACATTTTTGTTTGTATATCTCACATACCAAAATCTCACCCACACTTGAACTCTCTGCCTCTCTTCTCTGATCCCCGGGTGTCCCTGAACCCATCCCTTCTCTGGCCACCCAGGTACCCATGTCAGAAAGCAGGCGGTCATTCAAGACACCACTCTTTTCTTACTCCCCACCACCACTGCCTAGTGATTCTGTCTCCAAAAGAAGTCTTCAGTCTCTCTCTTTGACCACTTCCATGAATGACAAAATCCCTTGGTGTAGTAAGCTAGGTTACTGCAGCAGCCTTCTGCTTATTTTTGATCCTTTACATTTTGCTTAAAACTACTTCCCAAACAGCAGCTAAGGTGAGCTGTTAAAGTTCTAGGTTAAATTACTTTACATTTGGCTTAAAACCTTTTGTGACTGGCTGTTCAACAGAAAATATGTTCCTAATTGTTCAGCATTTCCATTAGATGCTGCACAGTCTGTCCTTGTCTTCTGCCTGAGGTCATTTTTATGTGACTGAGCTAAGCTCTCCATTTTCATGTTTCCCTAAGAGGGTTTTTCTTTTTTTTTTTTCCTTTCTGTCACATAAGGGCCTTTTTGCATGTGTTCTATTTGTCTGGAATGTACTTCCTCATCTGTCTTCAAGGAAACATTTCTTTGGAATCACAGGAAATGCCATTTCTTGGGGAAACTTTCCTCCAACTGCTCACAGTCTGAATTAGAATCCATTATCTCTTAGAGCTTAGTATTATATTGCTTTACAGAACACATCATGATTTATTATAATATTTTGAGAGGGGCTGCATGGGTACTTAAAATCCCAGACCCCTGCCACAGTGCTGGTTTGAATCCTGACTCTGTATTAATTATTTCCTATGTGAGTATGGACAAGTCTTTTAACTATGCTTAAGGTTTCTCATGGATAATAGCAACTTAATTGCAGGTCATTTTAAAAGCAGAAATGCTTAATATCTGTAGAGAAAATAGCACAAAGCAAGCCTTGTGTCTGTGTGGAGAGTTCACCTCACGTCTGAAGGCAGAGCGCCTCCCCTGGCACACAGCCGGCGCTCCAGCAGGCTGCCGGTGGGCGTTCCTTCAGAGTGACGAGCGGTGCGCTTCATCCTGTTCGTGTTCAGGGAGGGCCGGCGGAGAAAAGAATGATATTTGTAAGAATATGTAATCACTATGTAAACTTTATGTTTTGACGATGATCCACTTTTTTAAATTTATTTTTTAATTGGAGGGTAACTGCTTTATAGTACTGTGTTGGCTCTGCAGTACCACACAGATCAGCCATAAGTGTGTGTGTATATATATCCCCCTCTCTTGAGCCCCCCTCCCCCCTCCCACACCTTTGTTTTTGATCTGAGAATATCTTCAATATTTGGTCTTTTGGCAGCCCCTTTTGGCAAGAATGTTTTTATTATTATTATTATTATTCTATTGCAAATGTGACAGTCTAGCCCCAAGAGCCTAAGGGGCTTGTCCACACAGCAGAGGTAATAAATGATAGGATGATTCCCCTGGTAGCAGCTCCCTGGTCTTCTTGCTGAAATCTTATTGTTTCTATCTTTTCGGAAATGTCCTGTGAGCTGTATGAATGCTTTGTATATGGTTGGTGAAATTACGTTGGTGATCGTTCTTAAATTTTCAGTTTGAGGCAGATACTGTGAGAGCTTGTTCTCTGCTCCTGCACCCTCTTTGTGCTTCAAGCCTCACCGCTCACAGCAATAGCTCTGCAGTGACCTGCTTGCCCTTTCTCTTGCTCCATGATTCGACTGTCTTCTTTGTATAACCTCTAGAGTGATAGGGCTGAAAGGCCACTCATTGTTCTTGATTCTTTCAGATTACTTTCCTGTTTTAACTCTCATGGTGAGACTACCATCAGATCTCAAATATATTAAACCTCTGTTCCTATCATCCCATGTACTGTATTTCCATTAAGCTTTTCCTCATGCGAGGCAAGTAAAATGCTCAGTTTCTCCTGTATTCTCTGCAGGAATCATCATACCATTTCTGGATTCTGAATATATTTCATTGTTTGTTGAGTTTTTTTTTTTTTTAATCTAAATTCTCATAATATTTGAGAGCTGGAATGGGCCTCACATAACTCAAATCCCAAATTTATCATCAGGGAAACCAAGCTAGCTTCAGGAATGTAACTGAGAGGCTTAATTTCTGTTACAGTAGGAATTGGGGCTTAGATGAAATTACTGTTTGATCTTTACTGCACTTTTGTTACCAGTTTACTCACTTTTCTTTCTCAAAGAGAAAGCAGTGCATTAGAATTGAGAAGTATAACATGAATTCAGTGAAAATTGCATGACTGATTTTAATGTTCATTTATATATTTACCTTTTTATCTTTTGCAGTTTAACAGCAATGCCCAGGATGTAAGCTGTTTTCAGCACCTCGTCCAAGCAAATGTGAGAAATAAGAAAGTGCTGAAAGATGCAGTGAATAATATCACAGCAAAAGGAATCACAGATTATAAGAAGGGATTTAGTTTTGCTTTTGAACAGCTGCTTAATGTAAGTAACAATGCTGTCCCCTTTGTCTTTTATTATTGAATTATGGTATCTGAATTTCAATATCCTGGTAGTTACAGCTCTGTAGGATTAAGTAATAGTGCTATTTTTCATTCATTTAGAAAGCATATATGTCCAGGCTTTAGAAATCTTTTGAGCTTTTTAAAAAAAGTTTAAATCCAAAATTCAAATGTAGATTTTTTTTCTTTTGTATCTTTTCTTCTATCCTTTTTTTTTTTCCAAACTATATTTTAAAAACACATTTGTTGGGTAATTTAATTTTGAATAAGCACTGGAAACCTAGTTGACATATTTAGAATATTATTTATTTGTTCTCATCTCAATTAGCACTATATTTATTTGGAAACTTTTGCTTTTCATCACCAAATGGTTTCTGATGAAATATTTTAGTTTTAAACATCAGGTCTTGAGTCTTTAGGTTGTTCCTAAATGTATAGAAAGGTCCAAATGGTAAACATCAAAGTGGACAGAAGGATAAATTTCAGAGCAGAGATTCCTTCCAAAGTGAATGTTCCTTTGAATGAGTCATTGGTGTCTATAGTTAGTGTTTTATACTCTCTACACCTACTCTCTACTGCATATCATGACAATATTATAACATGAATCTCATACTGCAGACTAATATTTTCAAATGGCCATGTTGTCTGTTTCATTTTGAACTCTTTGAAAGCAGGAGCTATCATTCAGATTTATATTTCTCATAAAGCAATATTATCGCAGTGGTTGAGAATATGGATTTAACCTCTCTCAGCCTTGGTTCCCTCACTGGGGTTGTAGAAGGAATGTCCATAGAATCTGCAGATATAGCCAACCACATGGGTGTGTAGTTATTGGGTTGGTGAAGAATTAATACATAAATAGCATGAGGCTGGTACAGAATCAGCTTATAATTCCTATCAAATTTGCTAAGTCATTGAATAAGCTCTTATATTTAGTCTTTTCTGCAAATTTTATTTTGTCATTTCCTACGTTTATCTTCTAAACAGTTTTCAAGGTCTCTGATTGGATGATGACTCATTCATTTGTTCATTCAGCCAATATTTACCCAGTGCTTCACAATTTCCTGTCATAGCACATTGATGAAATTGTAGAAATAAACAAGAAAGACCATTTGCTCTCAAGAAAGTCGAGCATAACTTGCTAAGTCATTGTTTCTCATATAACATGTAGTGCTGTTACAGGGTATTCATAGTGTGTTTGCTGAGAGTATCTCGGGGAAGTGGCTCAACCTACACAAAGAAGTCAGAAAGTTGTTGCTCTTCCTTGAAAATGGAATTTTGAAGAATGAGTAGAGTCTAGGTAGATGATGAGGGGAGTGGGAAATCATTTCGGATTAAAAGATCACCAGAGATTAAAAAGCACAGAAGCATGAGGGGTTGTGCACTTTGAAAGAATTGCAGGTTTGTTGGCATGGCTGGGTCATAGGCAGTAGAGGAGAAATGATGGGAATGGAAAGGCCATGAGCTATCCCTAAGTGAGGTATGTCAGAGCAGATGGAAAGTGTGTGGTAGGAGAATGATATGGTCTGATGAGTGTTCTAAGTTAAGAAGCTATTGTAGAAATCCTGGTGTGGGATTAGAAGTGATGTTAGGGTGAGTGACCTAGTAACTATTAGATGGTAGGAGGGGTTGCTGAGAAGGGAGTGAGGGTGACTCCAAGTTCTCTGAGCTGGAAAATAAGGTGGAGGGTGGCTTAGGAGTCTACATTAAAGGAACGTAAGGGTAGAATTTTCAATTATTTGGACTTTGAAGTAATATTTTTCTTAGGTACAATTAGATAAGCAAGTAAATAGTAAAAAAGTAAAGGAATTCAGCACTGCAGTTTTCAGGGGAAATTATCTTTGGTAAAATTCATGTGATTATTAAATGATGTGTGTGCATTAATAAAAATGAAAACTCAAAACTTCTGAAATTCAAGCACAGATGATTACTAGAATAGGATATATCCTTTCTGCCATAAAGGAATGTGAAGTCTTTTCATAACTTCTTTTTCTCTTGAGTCAATAATCAAGTTTTCTAGATCTTGGCATTTTAATTATTCTTAGTGTTGTCAATTGGCCTCACTCATTCCCTCATATTCAAGTTTTTGTTGTGAAATGATGAGGAGGAGTCTCAAGCCTGATGTTCTACTTCAGAGGCCAGTTACAATAGAGGGGCCAGATTAACTCCCACGTTCATTATTAGTTACTTATAAAATATGGTCTAACTTCTATTGGCCTTTCCTACTGCCTTTGTAAGTTGTAAATGATTTTTAACATGTCCTCAGTTATTCCTGTAGTAAATCTCATATGTTTTGCTTTCCACATGTCCCTTAGGTATTGCAATTCTTCATTTAAAAATAATTCTCCCAAATGTACAGCATTCCTTGTTGAGCTGAAGCATGTTTTGTCTTTTTCTTATACACAATACCATTCCTTGTCTTATTTGTCCTGGCATGGTTTACCCTTAAGATCCCTGAATCAAGTGTCCAATAGAATTAGACATTGATTTGAATTAGTCTTCAGTTAGCATTTCATAAAATATTGACAAATATATGAGATGGATTTTTCAAAAAAATTTTGAGTGCATATATAATAGATGCTGTGCTGCATAGCTGCAGAGATACAGCAAAGTGTGCTATGAAATACCACACTAAAGTAAATTACCAACCCTAGCCATTGTATTTTTATTGACATAATCAAGTTTTTCCTTACCTTAATTCCTTCCAAGCCAATTTTGTATAATTGTTGTGACAGTGTGATTCTTTAGATAGTTGCAAATCCAGTGAGAATTTGCTGAGGTAGACTCTATTCTACCACAAGTCCTGAGAAGTCTACTTAGAGAAAAAATGTTGAAAACAAAACATTTATTCATTTCTCCTTTTGTGAGTGTACTAAAAATGATCAACAAGATGCAGTATGCTAACTTTGATATTTATATTCCATAATAATATAATAATAATACCCCCACTATTTAAAAAAATGAAACCAAGTCCTGTGCTAAAAGCAGTCACTTTTTTGAGACGGTCTTTTGAGTAAATATTATTTTGCCCATTTTCCATATGCAGATAGAAAAGATAAGTCATCAGAGAATTTAGTTTTAGATTCAAGGATTTCAACACCTTTCACAAAAGTATTTTGATGATAAAATATGTAACTATTTTATGGTCAGATTTTCAGATAATTACCTTCCAAGATAAGAATGGTTTTTGAATGTGATAAATAGTATTACTCAATACTTGAGTTTTCACAATGCTGAGTTAAAAGCTTTAACTGCCACTGGGCTAATGGCCTAGTCAGTGGAGTGAGAATATATGAAACAGGATTTTTTTCATCAGTTAAAACAACATGTTGTCCTCATTACCTTTTCCAACAGGAAATGTGATATACCTTTTTTGAAAAATAGAAATAAGGACCTTCGATAAATTCAAACACTATTGGAGAATTAGTGATTTTTAGACTGTGTTGTCCAGTATGATAACTATAATCACATGTGGGTATTGAGTGCTTGAAATGTGCATAGTCTGAAGTGAAATGTGTTATAAGAATACACTGAGATTTTAGAATTTACTTTGAAAGAAAAAAAAATTTATTTTCTCAATTTTTATAGTATTTTGATGTTGAATTGACTATTTTTGAATGACTGAGTTAAATAAAATATATTATTAGAATTTCAGATATTTCTTCTTACATTTTTTAATGGGGCCATTAGAGGGATAAAATTATAAATTAGCTTCAGATTTTATCACCTTTAAATATCACTAAACTAAAGGGTTGACATTTTCAAAGAAGCTGAGCAGTCATAAATCAGTGTGATTTTTTTTTTTTTTATTCTCAGCAATTTTGCAAACACATTTTACAACATTAGGAAGGCTGAGATTATAATTTCAGGCCTCAAAGAAGCTCAGCTTTGTATATTTCATGTGGCCCTTTGATGCTAATCCATTGTTTTCCTAAATCCAGCTCTTTGAGGGACCTTAAAGAAAATGTAAGAGAGGATTTAACATTGGAATTGAGCCTTTCAGAATTAGAATATATGTGACAGGTTGAGAGCAGATAAGACAATATCCTGGAAGTAGCTGTCAACATTTACCAAAATATGAAAGAGCACTGTGTGTTGGTATCAGCATTACAATTTCAGAAATGTAAACTAAATAAAATAGGAGGAAGGAGGAGTAAAGAGAGGAACAAATTAGGAAAACAATTTAGGAGAAACAAAGAGTGGAGGAGTAAAGAGAGGAATAAATGGATTGAAAATATACATAAAGGCTATGTATGTTTTATTAATATTATTTTTTATTCTGGTATATATTATAGAGGTATAGAATTGATACCATGTCCATTAATCACTTTAAAGCTTATGTGTTAATTAACCCTGAGAGGTTATTATGTATTAGGCATTTGTTCAGACAAGGAAGCTATTGAACAAAAAAGACAGAACTTTATACCCTTTTGGCACCTAATATTCTATTGGGGGAAGTCATTAATAAAAATCAAACAAATTATATACTGCATGTAAACAAACATGAAATGCTGTAAAGAAGAATACAGCTTGGGAGGGCAGATTGCAGTTTGCAATGCAGTTGTCAGGAAAGTCCTCAAAGGTCAGGTATCTGACATTTCATCAGATACCCAAAGAAAGGGAGAGGGGTGGGTGTTGAAAATGAGGCAGAGCCCTGTGTAGGCAGGCACAGGCCTGGCTTGATCCAGGAACCTGTTCTTAGAATAACTATTGAGCAGATACTTCAGTCATCACTTGCAACCTGCACACTCTTTCCATTTTGCTTCTATACTCCCTCCTTTTTACTATGAATGATATATAATTTTATTGATATATTTTACAGTATAATGTGTCTAGAGCCAACTGCAATAAGATTATCATGTTGTTCACGGATGGAGGAGAAGAGAGAGCTCAGGAGATATTTACCAAATACAACAAAGACAAAAAGGTGAGTGTAATTTTTCTGGTATCTTAAATTTAATATTAATTTAGGTGGTTTTTAGAGAGTATGGCAAGAGTGGTGAGGGAAGATGTTTTTGGTTAAAACATTAGTGTGCTGATTATAAAGCCATACAGCTCATGGATTATATGCCAATCACTGAATTTAATGTTAAATATCTTTTGTGAAATTCACAAGTACTTTACGACTAATTCATTAATAAAATAATTTGAACCTATACAGAGGCCCGTATAGAGACCTATATAGAATATATTTGTTTCATTGATTGTTTTACTGCAGAGAAAAGTATTGTACAAAGGCCTGTTTTGAAGGTTCACCAGTGTAGCTGAACCTACTGATACTGTGGAAGATATCAAATGTAACTATTTTTTCTACCACTCCTACTTGTCAGCTTATTGTAATTTTCTGATATTCTCCATATTTTATAAGAGGACAATGATTCTCAACTTAATTTCCTAAAATGCCAAGGATCCATAAATAAGTAATGAAAAATTATAGCTTACGTCTTATGCTTTCAGAACTTCAACAGAAATTATATACTTCACAAGGGACCTGACTTCAGGGTGAAATGCCTATCAACTTTGCTTTTAATTAGAACTTTCATCATTGACTCATTATTAATGCTAATGAATTGTGTTATGTGTGTGTGAAGGATTAAAAAGAAGGAAAAATGTAAATTAATACATTTAGGTAAATATACATAAGTTATATATATATTGGCAGGCAAAATACTGTGGATAGTAGGGTAGAGTATTGATGAAAATTTTGGAAACACTTCATAAATACCAGTACTTTCAAAGAGTTGACAACATACATAGGTATAACTTTGAATTGTTTACAAAATGTTTTAATACTCAGCTCTTTGATACTGCATATGCTATTAAAGTATAATGTCATATGACATAAGCTTAATGTGAGGGTTAAGTTTTTTTAAACATCTGGTGACTTTGATTATATAGAACAGCCATTCCTTTTGAAAAAGTTGATAAATGGACTGAACTGTTAATAGGCTATAAATGTTTCGAGTGGTATCTTGTTACTGTGCATATTTGTTTCAGAAATATCATTAGAATGAAAAGTAATGGGAAAATAGAGATGCATTAAGATATGATGTACATTTCTTACTTTATTCAGTAGCTACTACTCATTGTTCAAAGTCCAGGGCAGCCAGCACCCCTTGGAGGGTGACCCTGCCATCCTTTCCTCCCACGTGGCTGTTCAGCTAGGTGTGCTCTGATCCCAGTGCGGTGTCTGAGCCCCCCAAGTCTCTTCACACTTAGGCTACCCATGAGCTCTTTTCTCTGTCCACCCTCTGGACGACAAGGTCCCACGTGGCTAGGCCTTTGTGTTGTTTACCTATGAACTCTCAGCATCCTGCAAGAAGCACAAAACCAGAGTTAGTTCTCAATACATGGCGATAAATAAAACTTGAAAGTGTCTAACAAAAGTTGGAAGCATGACTTCTGTTATAGAACAAATTCATAATCATAAAAAATAATCTGGGTGAAGGAATATTTCACTTACTTAAACATTCTCAGTGATATAAAATTACCATGTTTTGAAGAATTCAAATGTAATAAAATAAATTTAATCTAAATTCATTTCTATTAATATTTACTTCAGTATTTTTAATTAATCATACACTGATAATTTGGAAAGGACTTTTTAGCATCTTCTAGTCATAAATTTAAGTATTTTTTATTATGATAGAGGTGCATAAGTAGCAGCCCCAGTGCTTTTCATTTTTTAATGAATATAAGTTTAGTTAAATCATCTTTTCTTTGATTTTGCTATCATCCAGACTAACAAGCAGAATTATCATTCACCTCTGAATATTTGCAAGAGTTTCTTAAATATGGCAATGAATATTGCATTCTGTATTGCAATTTGTGCCAGAGATATATTTTAATTTCAGAGTACAAAAAAGTTTAACAAGTTTAAATAAAAGAATTTAAATGTATAAAAAGAGAAAAATAATAAACTTGTTATTTATTTTTTTCCTCTCTGAAAACTCTTTTTGCATGCAGAAGTAGTACAATAACATGTGTTGGAGGCATATCATAATTTTCTTTTTTTCCATAAAAGAGATTTTATGTCATAAGGAAAACAACTCTATCCTACCCTCCATTTTCACGAATTGTCTAGTTGATTGAATACATGAAAAATTACTAGTTGAAAGCCATTTTTCTATGTACATATCCAAAAAATGTCCAATCTAAATATTACTATCTTGAAACACTGCTTCTCATCTCCTTCACCTTTTATAGGAACTCCATGTTTTAAACAAAGTCATTTTGTGACATTCTAAACCACATAAGAAATGATTCATATCACATTCACTATTTAAAACTGATGAATCTAATCTTACTCAACAATCTTGCTGTTTGCCTATTAATAATATCTCTCTGCTGTAAGGACACACACTTCTCCTAAGGACATAGAATTTTTGTGAATTCCAAAGAAACTTTGAAAAGTAAGTAGGCAGTGCTTTCTATGATTTTTAAAATAAATGTATAGTTAGCTAAGAAAAATTAAGATATCCTTGGAATTAGAAACTACATTTTTTTTAATGGCAGTCTAATTTAGGGGCTGTAGCAAAGTTCTGTGATACACTTATACATGTATACATATTTACATACACAGGTATATGAACACACATTTATATCTGTTTTAAATGGACATTGATTCTGTCAATCATATCTCTAGAAACAAGGGATCATGTGTGGAACTTTGGCTTAGCTCTCTTATGTAAAGTGCTATGAGTAAATTTCAACTACTGACAAGTGGTTAAAAAGTGATCAAGGAATGAGGAAATAGAAATCTGAATATAAACTAATTTTTTTCTAAAATCTTTGCAAATTTGCTAAGAAATATTAGGAAAAATTAAGACAGTCAACTCTGGGTGAAGTTTTGCACACATGTGTGCATGCAAACATGTTTTTTTTAACAATGGAAGAGCTAAGTCATTATTTTAACTTAAGGTTAGTAAAGGGATACCATCCAGACAGAGAAAGCTTATAGATAGAAAACAGAGAAAGGATAATTGATGGAGATCTTTTTTTTTTTTTTTTTTTTACTTTACAACATTGTATTGGTTTTTGCCATACATTGACTTGAATCCGCCATGGGTGTACATGTGTTCCCCATTCTGAACCCTCCACCCTCCTCCCTCCCCATCCCATCTCTCTGGGTTATGCCAGTGCACCAGCCCCGAGTACCCTGTATCATGCACTGAACCTGGACTGGCTATTTGTTTCACATATGATAATTTTCATGTTTCAATGCCATTCTCCCATATCATCCAGCCCTCGCCCTCTCTCATAGAGTCCAAAAGACTGTTCAATACATCTGTGTCTCTTTTGCTGTCTCGCATACAGGGTTATTGTTACCATCTTTCTAAATTCCATACATATGCGTTAGTATCCTGTATTGGTGTTTTTCTTTCTGGCTTACTTCATTCTGTATAATGGACTCCAGTTTCATCCACCTCATTAGAACTGATTCAAATATATTCTTTTTAATGGCTGAGTAATATTCCATTGTGTGCATGTACCACAGCTTTCTTATCCATTCGTCTGCTGATGGGCATCTAGGTTGCTTCCATGTCCTGGCTATTATAAACAGTGCTGTGAAGAACATTGGGGTACATGTGTCTCTTTCAACTCTGGTTTCCTTGGTGTGTATGCCCAGCAGTGGGATTGCTGGGTCATATGGCAGTTCTCTTTCCAGTTTTTTAAGGAATTTCCACACTGTTCTCCATAGTGGCTGTACTAGTTTGCATTCCCACCAACAGTGTAACAGGACTCCCTTTTCGTTGGAGATCCTTGAAAGAGGAGGGATTGAGAGATCCAGAGCACAGATTTCTGAATTAGACAATTAGGAATTGTATTTCTGAAAACATGTTGTGCCACGTTTTATTGCACTCTGCTTCCAAGTTCAATGGCTTTTTAAATTTTCTAATGTGGAAAAAACTATGTTAGACAAAAAATTTGTCTCTTGGTATTTGCATGTTTTTATCCACTAGCAGTGATGATAGCAGACAGTTTTTTAGTTATGTTTTTGAATGTGTTTGTATTTTGTCAAGACAACATTTCACAATTAACTGTTTATGCCAAGGGTGTATATATGCAACTAGTGTGTATAAGAGAGATTTTCCCACCATCTTCAATATGTCTTCAAATGGTTTGGGATGAACTGTCAAACCCTTTCTCACTTCCCCTGCTTATTCTGACTTTTCTACCTTCCACTCATCCACCCAGTGTGAGAGATTTGCCACCCTCAGACATGTGGATGCATGGAAGATCCTTGTCTATCTGTGTCATCTAAGGATGTGTATGACCAGTTATTTACCTGCAAAATTCATATTTATTATGAAATAAATTTATCAACTCAGAACTTAACTAGCTACATTTTGTTTCAAATGGCCAATGTGTAAAACTGAAATCTGATAGTAAAATAAAAACTTTCAATACTTGTAAAATTCTATATTCAACTATAATTTTACTTTAAAACATGCCCCTTAAGATAGACATTCACTTGTAACTTAAAAATATCAAAATTGCAAAGTCACAGAATTTGGAGAGCTTTTAAAGAAAAAAAAATCTGAAAACCTCTTTTTGAATCCTACTTTCTCCCCGGGCCTCTTGCTTGGCATGAATGTGACTGAATGCTTCATTTAAACCCATTTGTCATCCAGATGACATTAGAAATCATTCAGAGCAACCCAGATAGGTGTGATGAGGTCCACCCAGAGAGCTGATGAATGAGTTTGCAGATACAGAGCACAATTTAATGAGGCCAAAAGGTTTGAGAATTAGAACAAAATGTTTGGGTTCTTTTGAAATGTATTACTCTTGGGAATTAATCTACCTGATTATAGATAGGTACAGCTTAAAACTGAGTCCATGTTAATCTCCTCACACAGCTGTTCCACATTAAAATGCATTCATTTTCTAATCTTTACCTGCAACTCTGCCATTCCTTAGGGC